AATAAAGTTGATAAAATATATATTAAATTATATTTTTTATATAATAATAATATTATTAAAATTAATATTTAATATTTATAAAGAAATTAACAATTATTTTTAATTTCGCAGGCAAATTTGCCTGCTAGACAATCTAAGGGATAGTCAAATAAAGTATTTGAGTTTTACTTTTTTTAATATACTTAGTAATTTACTGATTTATTCCTAAGTCCTGAACTTATAACTGATATAACTCAGACATATTAAAACTATATTTTACTAAAACTTATATGTTATCACAAAGATTCACAATAGCTGTAATTATCATGAGGTTTAAAAAGTCATTTTAACTTATAAAGGTTTATAATATCACCTAGATTTATAAAATCATACAAATGTATAATGTCATTCAGATGAAGATGTAAAATATCATACAGATGTATAAGGTAAATAATAAAACAATTTATTAATAAATAATAAAAGAGAAAATAAGAAATAAAGAAATAAAGAAATAAGGAAATAAGGTAAAGAAATAAGAAAAGAGGATTTCACAAAGATAAAAGAGCACATAGCTATTTAATATATTTTTAAGAAAATTATTACATACAGCTGAGTTGAATTCTACAAATTCTAAAACTACTATATTTATATCTTTTTAATTACATACAACAACAAATTAAATATATTAAATAAACAAATTATATTTATTATGCGAATTATATTAATAATATCGATAATATCATTAAGTTAATAATATAATAATATCAATAATGTTATTAATGTCAATTATATCAACAATATTAAGAATATTACATAATATATGTAAATCAATTTATAAATCAATTTTGCAAATCTCTTTGTAAATCAATTTTGCAGATCACTTTGTAGATCTGTTTACAATAAATATACTTTACAATTCAATCAAAATTCATTATGTTCTTATATAGCTTTCAAAATTTGTTTTAAGACAGAATATTAATTAATTAAAGAATGATAATTATAGTTAGTACTTCATTTTATATAAAGCAATAAGATAAAAAATAATTCAGAAATTCATATATATAAATAATAATTAATAGATTACTATTTTATATAGATCTGTCTTTTTTATATAAATTTATCCAGATTTAATTATCATTAAACAAACTATTTTAATATTTTTTTACCATATTTATTTGACTTCAATAATGAAGTAATAAACATTCAATTGTATAATAAGTAATTCTAAATGTATAACATGTTTTTTTAATTTACCAATAATGATAATTTTACAAAAAAATTTTTATAAGTTTATTTGAATAAATTTTACCTTTGCAAATATTACTTAAAAATATTTTTCTACTTATTTATGATTAATATAAAAATCATTATTTCTTAATATTTTATATTTATTATTAACAATTTCATATTTTACAAGAATTACATTTCTATCATTCCTATAAATAATTTGTATAAAAAAGTAACTGAAATAATATGTTTAAAAATGTATAATATATATAAAAAAAAGTATAATAAATTCATAAATATTTCTATATACTAAATGCTAAAAATTATATTTTTTTATATTCTGAAAATTATTAAATTTATATGTATATTTAATCAATACAGTCGATCCTTTCTACTGTCACACCCCTTGAGACTAAAAATAAAAGGTGTGACTATAGTGAAAAGTGACTATGTTTAGTTTATACTTTACGTATTTGAATATTTAACCAAAAGCCATTCAACTGAAAACTATTTGTCACATGTATGCATAATATAAATAACAAATTTATAGTAACCATATCAATTAAAATATGATATTTAATGCGATGACAAATAGATTCGATCAAATGGCTTTCAGTTAAATATACTGTAACCTGTACCTTATACCTCTTAATATGCTATATTAGTTATCAGTATAGACTATATAAGATTAGTTTATACTTTGTAACTCTTTTACAATATATGTCCTGATATAATACCTTTCTATTAAAATACTCTATCGCTTATTATACCCTGCTCTTTACAAGATACCCATGAGTATGAATCAATTTTTAAATTGAAAATTTGATTTATACCCAGGATATCTCGTGCAGTGCTTTACAGTATTAGGATTAATTATACTTAATTATTACTATCTATTCTAAATTTGATATTTGCTACTATGCAAACATATTTTTCATAAACATATATACAGAAATGTCAAATTATTGACTGTTGATACATAAAAAGTATTTTAAGAAATGTGGTTATAAAATATATAAAAGTCATGAATTAGATATAAAATTTACATAAATAAAACAATAAAAAGAAGCTAAGAATCAAAGACTAACAATAATAAAATTAACTAAAAGAATTAGAGTGTTAAAAAGAAAGGTGATATTAAAAAAATAAAAACTTTTATTTTAATACTAGAAACTTCTTTAAATCCAATAATTTTCAATTTAATAAAATTTATATTTTTTAATGATAATTTTATTAATAATTGTTTAATGAATATAATAATTTATGAACTTAAGTTTAAATTTATCACTTTAAATTCATTATAGCATATCTTAAATTTATCACAAATTTTATTATTGTTTTTTACAATCTATTACTCTAATCAAATAAGACTTTATAATAGAAAGAGAAAAACTATCAAACAATAAAATCCAAAAAGACAATAATTATCATTATTATGATTTTTATAATTATTAATATGTAGTTTCCTTCTTTTCTATTATAAAGGTTCTAAATAAAGATAAGAACTGTAATTAATATGTTACAATTTTTAATGTTGTAACATATATTGCAATTTGTTTTAATCTATATATGTTATAACTAATTTTAACTTATGTTGTAACAATTTGTAAATTTGAAATTGATTGCTATATCATCTTTAGTTACAAATAATTTCATGTATTTTAATTATCATGTGATATTAATTTTTCAAGCGTAACTACCAAAAATCACTGGTATGTGATTAGTTTTGCTGATTTTATATAAAATAGTTAGATTAATTTTCGCAAAAATTTTGTTGTTTTATATAAAACTTAACTTAAATTTTCTTTAACTTTTAAAATTAATTTTTTCTATAAAAATGTTTATACACTTTACAAGTTTACTTAGAATCAAAAGAAAGGTTTTAAATAAAGTTACTTACAAAGAAATTTGTATTAAAAATGGTAATTTTCTTCTAAGTAAACTTGTAGAGAAGACAAAAATTACATATAAGATATGATTTTAAAATCTGTGTAATACTTTTACTAAGTCTTATTCAAAATGATTATGATCACGTGATATGACTAATTTCAGTCATGTGATTTGACTCCGCCCGGAATTAGCATTTATGAAGCATATTATGAACAGAAGGAATTTTTCAAAATTGACAAAATTAAAATTTTCCTATTCCAAGAAATATTACTGAATTATATGAATTTTTAGGATTAGCATCATATTACAGAAGATTCATACAAGATTTCTCATCATCATCTTTCGCATTTATTATCATGAAAAGACACACCTTATGTTTAGATTGATCCACAACAATAAGTCTTTAAACATTTAAAAAATAATAAAGAACGTTGTTATGCGAGTAGAAGTTTAAAATTGTTTCGAATTGAAATTCTCAAGTATAAAATCTATTGTATTTTTTATTGATCTTCATCACGTACTAAACAACCGAAATATTATAGCTGGTAACAATAATCAATCAAATATATGATCGATCAATTATTTGCTTATGAAAAAAAGAACGTCCAGTAACTGTTCAGGAAAACAAAAATTTATTATTTTTAATCCAGGAATACTTCAAAAGAATGTTATGATATCATGAAAATTTTCTTTTATTTCTTAAAATAAACAATTTTTGTAAATACAACTTTAATGTTGAAACAGAAAAGTTAATGCCGAGATCGCTTTCTTAATCAAAAAGACCGAATCCCATATCCTTTATTAAAAAAAAAAATTAAGTTTAGATATTCAAAGATATAACAAAAAGAAACCATAACTTAAAGAAGATATACAGTACATCATCAGATTCTTCCTTCTCTTCTTCTTTAGTTTCTTCAGCGGGAGGAGCTTCAGCGGCAGCGGCACCACCAGTTGCAGCACCACTACTAACAGCACCACCACCTGTAGGCACAGATGCTAATTTCGATAATCCTGAGGCGACCAACTAATAAATTTTTTCATGAATTCAAATAAAAGATTAAGAAAATAAGAAAATTATATAAAATTAAATATGAAGACAAATAATAACATACCTCTTCGGTATTTTTTTCTTTTAATTCATTGAGCAATTTTTTAAGCCTATCATTATCAGCTTCGATACCAACAGATTCAAGAAGAGATTTGATACTTTTATCGTTGGGCGTTTTACCAGCGAGTTCTAATAACAAATAAGCGGCTAAGTGCTTCATTTTTCCTGATGAAATGAGATAATTTCAAAAATATATTATTGTTTTGTCAATTAATTTTCTTCATATATGAAACCTTGTATCCAATATCAACTTCACCAAACCATTCCCTTCCAAATAAATTTACCTAATTATTTTTTCGAATTTTTTCTTTTTGTCGCAAAAGTCGATGAACTCTTTAACTCAACAAGAGAACAATTACGCTCAAAAAAAAAAAAAATAAAAAAAAATTTGATTTTTGAAAAGATCTTTTGGTTTGTTCATTTATTATATTAGATCAAAAAAAATTGGTACAACTACTAATGTCATGTGATTGATATTGATTTATCAAAAAAATTTTCGAGAATCTTTTTTCAATCTCGTTTTTATCGGAATGCATAGTTTTAACATACGCACCTTTTTGTTCGAAGTCAAAATATTTCAACCAACACGACAATATATTCAATTTCAACCTTCACAACTTTTATATATTCGTCATTTTAATACAACAAGTTGTCGTTATTATCCAACAAGTATCGTGGAACAAACTAGCAATTCTGGCAGCGGTTTTCAATTATATTATAAACAATATCAAAATACAAGAAATAAACATAGTTCACCTAATTCATTACCAAATAAAAATGCATTTATTCAAGCATTACGTAAACAATTTAATGATGTTAAAATAAATCAGAGAATTGATAAAGAAAAAAATAAATTAAAACCACAAAAAGATGTAGTGAAAGTAAGGTTTGTCAGATTTTTTTCTTTCAAACCTGTTAATTTGTTAATATTTATATTTATTTTACTGTACAATTAGGCAATTGGATTAATTAATGAAATGATAACAAGCAATACATTAACTTATTTAACATCATCACAAATTTTATCATTTTATATAAAATTTAATTCATTGTATTCAACTAAACCATTTTATTTGACATTAATTTCTTATTTATTACGTCAATTTGCTAAATATGATAGATTAGAGTTAGTTAACGTTATATTTGCCAGATTTATTTATGATGTTGAGATGAGCACAAAAAAGTATTTACTTGGGGCTCTTGTTATTAATGTTTGGAATGTTGTGTTTAAAATATACGCTGATAAGGGAAGGCCTGAGGAAGTTATTAGTAGTAAGTATAAAGGGAATTGAGCTTAATTTTCGTTTCTTAACTATTTTCATAGATTAATTGTTTAATTTTGAATTAGTGTATAAGACGATGTGTCAACATGGCATCTTGCCTAATGTTAAAACATATTCGACACTAATAAAATCCGCAGCAAAATCAAATGTTCCATATGAATGTTTTAAATTTTTAGAGAAAATTATTCCAAAAGGTGAAAAAACTAATTCGGCAACATTAAATTTTCTTTTAAAAGCATGCATTTCTTCAAAGGATCCAAACATTAAAGCAAATGTAAATTTAATTATTGACCTAATGTCATATTGGAAAATTGGACCAAACGGTACAACATTTCTAATTTTATTGCAACATTGTAAAAATTATGAAGAATTGGAAGTTATTTGGACAAAGATATTGAAATATGGATTATGCGACAACAGACAATTACAAGAAAGGATTATTAAAATTTGTTGTACACAACTTTCTTACGGTGAGAATAATAATTTATCGATAAGAATGTCAAAATGTTTTGATTACTTTTTGAGATTTCATCGGATTTCGAAGGGAGAAATATCATTAGGAATTTATAACAATTTATTGAAATATTGCATAATGAATGGAGATAATTCAAGATCAATGAGAATATTAGAAATGATGTGGGAGAAAAACTTGGAACCAAAAAAATTGTTGTATAAAAATTTATTTGATTCGATCCATAATAATACAAACACTATAGATCGATGGAAATTAATCGAAGGGATATTTTCTAAACCAAAAACAATAATATTACCAAAATCATTATTAAATTCGATGATTTTGGCTTTAGGAAGATTACGTGATATTCGAGGTATTATGGAATTCTATCAGGAAAAGAATGGTTTCTTTGACAACAATTACAATAGATTGTTAGACAAGAATCGTAATCCTTTAGGAAAGATATTTATGTTTAGGACGAAACATATCCCCATGGATATAAAATTATTTAATATTTTTATGAGAGCGATATCAGATTGTAATTACGGTCCGTTAAGTTGTGCGGAATTCATTCAACATACTTCGATTGGACTTCGACCAAATCATATTAGTGTTAAATACTTATTTGCCTCTATACAAACTAAGCATGACTTTAAATTATTTGGATCAGCGCTATTTCAACTTATTATTAAACAAGGAATCATTATCAGTAAAGATGTATGGGAGGATGTAATAAGAAACACCATACAAAATATATCGAAAAGTGAGCGGATAAATACGGATCACAGAATCGATGTAATTATTAAATATTTAGTCAATGAAATCATTAATGTGCAAGAAGAAAAGGATTTATTCGACTGTCTTAATATATTAGAAATGTCATGTTAATTTAATTATCTACTTGATGAAACTTGTTGAACTTGTGCTTGATAAGTTCTTTGAAGGTCAACCACCTATAATATATAATAGAATATTAATTTCTTATATTTTTAAAAATAATTTTTTTTGTTTATTTATTTTACATACCTCGAATTTCTTTTTCTCTGATTTTTCGCTCAAATCCGCAAGTTGTGTTTCGACGCGTTTGCTATTTTTAAAATAATTTGTTTATAAAATTACGAAAGTTTACAAAGACATCAAAATATTATTATACTCACATTTCTGATCTAATGTAATCTAATCGTTTATCAACATTTGAAGTAGCTTCTATTTTATCCTGTTTTATTAATACAGGTCCAATTAACTTATAAATATTCGCATCTTCTTTTAGTAATTTAAATTCCTAATTTTAATTCAATTAATTAATGGACTAGGAAATATAAATAATTAATTATATCTAAATTACCTTTTGAACAACTACATTTTCTTGTAATTGAGAATCCAGACGTTGTCTAGCTTCAATAGCATTTGTAAGTTCTGTTATATGTCATTAATAAATAGTATTAGTTGGGTTAATACAAATCAAAGCAAAAAATAAAAAATATTTTTACCTCACCTTTTTGAAGTCTTTGATATTCAGTAGTTGCAGCTTCCAAACGTGCATCAAACGACATTTTAAGGAAAAAAAATGAAAGTACGTAAATATTCATAAAAAAAAATTTTTTTTAATCATCACTATCAATCCGCAGACACTATGCCCATCACGTGATACAACACAATCATATTTATATATTTTTAATATAAAAAAAGCATTTATAAAATATCGATATATTGAAATAACTGTTATTCTAATCTCTTTATTTTTATATTGATCCATGAACTTCCTTGACAAAAGTTTCGGAAACAATAAGTGGAAAAACAATTGTGGCATCTGCATAAACTTTAATATGTTCGGCGTCAGTTTTGATTTTTCCCCAACTAACAGCTTCGTCAGGTCTAGCACCTGAATCACTTCCATCAAATTCTTGTCCTGTATTTATATAAACTGCATAATCGGCTCCGTTCCTCTGCAGGAAAAAAAACGTTAAAACGTTTTAACATTAAATTCAATTCTAAAAAAATTAAAAAATAGTTACCATGAGATTGGCATTACATATATGATGTTTAACTAATCCTCCGCCTAAAATTATGACACCAGTTTTTCTTGCAAAGACAGCTTGTTGATTTATTGACCTTATATCAGATACTATATCAATAACTAGCCCGGGATTTTTAAAAGTATGAAAATAAATCATATCACCCAATGAACCATCAGTGAGAGCCGGACAATATACTGGAATATTATTCTTTTTAAAAGGAAGAATATTAATTACTTCATTGAAAACAAGAGGATGTCTGTAGATTATTATAATCACCTTATATGCCCAATAATATATTGAATCAGGATTATTTATTTCTTTGCCTAATCTATTAATAATTTTTGATGGCGACCATATTATTCCCTTTAATTAAAATTTATAGATTAATAATTAATTGCGTACATGATATTAAACATTTTCTACTAACCTCGTTTCTTTGTTCTTCTAATAATTTATCTAATATAGGTACAACCCAGTCTTCGAATTTACAATAATTATCATTGGGCACAACTAAATTACCAATTCGATTCATACCATTTTTTCTTAATTCCGCACCATTTAATTGGAAGTCTGCTAAATAGGTTTGTCCTAAACATTTAATAAAATCTTCTTCTACGCCACCGGCTGTTGTTACTATAACATCAACTAATGAATTTTGTACTAAATATCTAATTATTTCTCGCAATCCTGATGATACAAGATTTGATGTATATCCTAAAAATATTTTACATTTCGTTGTACTTCTTTTCAATGGTTCTTTGTATTCTTCTGTTTCGTCTGGCAATATTGGTTCATGTGATAATCTCCAATCAAGCTATAATAAATAATACACCAGTTAATATTTATAACGAAATTTTTTATTAAAATACATATATAAATACATATATACATACATATATATATATATATATACCATTTTGTTTATAAGTTCAATAGCTTTCCCGACGCTAGTTGCTTGAAACCCCATTCGAGAATAACCTTCAAGTAATTCATGTAATGATAATTGATTATTAAAGTCAGGTCCCTTTACTGTTACAGCATTTTCTGGCATTGGAGTCGAGCGAAGAAGAACTGACGTTGTAGCAGTTTTTAAAGCTGCTGATAGCTCATCCTTACTTTTCTCTTTACTACCATTTAATAATGGAGATTTTTCCATTTTCAATTTTTTTTTTTAAAAAAAAAAATTGAACTTTCATCAGTTTATGATAATCATCACCTGATTAGTTTGTTAATAATTAACCCCCTGAAATTTTTCACATGAAAAAATAACGGTATAAATAAACACACTACTTTTTCGCAAATTTTTTAAAAGAAAAAATATAATGGTAATTTTTTTTTTCTTCGTCTGAAGTTTTCGATCCGTATTTGTTTAGTTAATTTCATATTGACTTGCTTTACTTGTAGTCTGAAGTTGAAGAGAACATTAAACGTCTTACAGCAAACAAACATGTACAAGGTGTATTGATCGTTAATGAAGATGGACAAATTATTAAATCAACTTTAGAACCCTCGTTGAATAAAAAATATTCGGATTTAATCACAAAATTAGTAGAACAAACAATTTTTTGTATTAAAGAAATGGACGATACTGTGAGTTTTTTAAATATGGTCGTTTTTGTTCATTATTTTTCAGAATAATTATATCTATATTTGTTTAATTTAGAACGACTTAACTTTTTTGCGTGTTAGAACTAAGAAACATGAAATTTTAATTTCTCCAGGTAAAGAAATTTATATTCCAGATTTAAATTATTGACAATAACATATTACAATTATTAAAATATTTCTCCTTTCTTTAAAGATAAAGAATATCTTTTTATTACTATACAAAATCCTGAAACAAAATCCTGAAAATTTTTAGCATAAATTTATTTTATTGTTATCCTTTAGATAAATAATAATTTATTAATCCATTTATTTATGCAATATAAACATAATTTTGCTAACCTTAATGAGTCCCTTGAAGCTGTAAATAAAATACGACATATTAAATATGACTATATATTTATCTTCGCGAAAAAAAATCAATAATAATAATAATAATTGCGTTTTTAACCATAAGAAATTAGTGAGTCCCAAACTAGATGATATCATCCAACGAATATGAATCTTATTGAAACAATTTATTTTAACCTCAAAATACAAAACGTCTTTATGTAGCTGATGGTCTACATTTACATTTATTATTAATTTATAGAAGTCATCAAAGAGAAAACCTATTGTAATTGTATTATGAACTTTACAACTCGTCATCTAAAAAGAATATAAATAAATATTTAAATTCTCTACTTTCAATTTGTCGCACGTGATAGGTCATATTTTTAATAATAGACTAAACCTAATAATTTCCATTTTCTTTTAAATATAAAAATATAATTTTTAAGTTATGCAAAAGTTTAAGGCGTATCCGCCGATCTGCGGATTTTGGGTTTATTTTAAAATACGTAGTATGTACCATCTGTCAAAAAACATCATCTGACTGTGATGGTCAAATGACCATGAAAATACCACCAAAACACCACAAATATTTACGAACTATACAAAACCCATTGCTTACTTGAAGTTCTGTTTATGCATAATGCAGTGATGGCATTTGGCCATGGCCAAGGCTAATTTTTTGGCCATTGGCCGATTGGCCAAAATAATCAGCCAAGATCTGCGGCCAAAATCCAATTGGTATTTGGCTGTAACCAATGGCCAAATATCAAAGGTCACATGACTCTGCCAATTTTTCTGGCTTGAATATTCAATATATTGCAAAATTTCAATAATTGACGCCTCCGACGTTCAGAACGGTCAATTATTGAAATTTTGCAATAATTGACGCCTACGATGTTTGGAACGGTCAATTATTGACAATTTTGCAATTGATTAAGCATTCTGAACGTCGGAAGCGTCAATTATTGCAAAATTGTCAATAATTGACCGTTCTGAACGTCAGAGGCGTTATTTATTGCAAAAATGCAATTAATTGAACGCTCTGAACGTTGGAGGCATCAATTATTGCAATAATGTAATTAATTGAACGTTCCAAACGTCAGAGGCATTAATTATTGCAAAATTGTCAATAATTGAATATTCTGAATGTCAAAGACGTCAATTATTGCATTTTTGCAATTGACCGAGCATTCTGAATGTCAGAGACGTCAATTATTACAAAAATGCAATTAATTGAACGTTCCAAACATCAGAGGTATCAATTATTGCATTTTTTGCAATTGACTGAGCGTTCTGAATGTTGGAGGCATCAATTATTGCAAAATTGTCAATAATTGAACGTTCTGAATGTCAGAGACATCAATTATTGCATTTTTGCAATTGACTGAGCGTTCCAAACGTCAGAGATGTCAATTATTGCAAAAATGCAATTAATTGAACGTTCCGAACGTTGAAGGTGCCAATTATTGCATTTTTGCAATTGATTAAGCGTTCTGAACATCAGAGGCGTCATTTATTGCAAAATTGTCAATAATTGATTGTTTGTAACGTCAGAGACGTCAATTATTACAAAAATGCAATTAATTGACTGTTCTGAATATCAGAGGCGTAAATAATTGCTAAATTCAACTAATTTCATTCCTTATGATAACCCATGTTAATTGCTGCAATATTTTTTAATTAAATACATATTCTGACTAGTATTTGATGATCTGAATGATCTGCAGTAATTTTTAATCAAAAAATATTAATTTGCGCAAATGATCTTTCTAGATCTGTAATATTCATTTATTATGTTATAATACATGTAACATGCATGTACTTTTACATTTATTATTTTTTTTTTGTTTTTTCAAATTTGTTTTTTTTTCTTTTTTTTCAAATTTTCAAAATTAAATTTTTTTTTTAAGATAAATTTTTTAAGTCATAAGTTTTAATTAAGATTTTATAAGTTTTAAATATGTCACATAATTATAAACCTTTTATTGAAATTATAATAAAAAAAGCTGATTTATGATGATATTTTTATATTTGCATTGCATGTAGAAATATTGAAGATTATCAAGTTGCTTTGCTTAAAAAAATGCCAAATAAGAATAATTGTATTAGAAACCATTTTAAAAAATGTAATAACTTTAAAAATAATATCTTCAACAATAAATTGAATATTTTGAATCCGAATTAGAAGTAAAAAATGATGAATTTGAAGAAAATGAACTTATTTCTATTTCACAAAAAGGTTACGTAAAGAATCTACTAGTTCAACATATAGTTTTATTTCACAAACAAGTATGTATTTATTTAAATTATTCAAGAACTTATATAAATTTATATATTAAATATTAAATTTTTATTTACAAAGATACTAAATCTAATACATCAATTGGATCACTTGATTTTTATATTTCTAAATCATTTATATCTCGACCACTTTCAAAGAATGATAATAGTATTTTTGAAAAAATTAATAATTTGATCTACAGTTTCTGCAGGATTTTCTTTACAATAAATTGAAAATAAAAATGTTCAAAATCTTTTTTATTTTTAAAATTCAGCTTTAAAAATATTAAAACACAAGATTTTAGAAAATCAAATTTTAAATGAAGAATCAAAAGCACTTCAAAATGAAATGAAACAAAATTAAAAGCTGATATTATTGGTATTACTTTAACATTTGATGGTTGGACAAGTTGGACAAATGTTTTAAATCAAAATATTCTTAGTTCGGTTTTTATTATATCTAAGGATGGTATTGCAATTGTTTTTTCAAATCTGCAATATTGCGGATTTTTGAATTGAATTACGCATAGTAATCCGCAATTCTGCAATTCAAATCACGTGATTTGTGATGTAATTTGTGAGTAATTCGTGTAAATACATAATCGCAAATAATTAGAGATC